GTGTCTTTTTCTTTGTCAATCTTGCAAGAAGTTTATTATACAATTAGTTTTTTGTTTCACTGTTTTTTTCAAAGAATTGGTTTTTTGTTTCATGGTTTTTTGTATCATTTTTGTTTCAAATTTCATTGATTTCTGCTCTTATCTTTATTTCCTTCCTCCTGCATGCTTTGGATTTTGTTCTAGTTTTTCTGGTTTCTTAAGATGGAAGCTTGGGTCATTGACTTGAGAACTCCTTCTTCATCTAACCATTTAATGCTATGAATTTCCCTCTACTGCTTTAGCTGCATCCCACAAATTTAATATGTTGTGTTTTCATTCTTGTTCATTTCAAAATGTTTCTAATTTTCCTTGAGACTTTTCCTTTGACTTATAGATTTAGATGTGTTATTTAATTTTAAAGTGTTTGACAACTTTTCTGTTATCTTTATTATTGATTTCTAGTTTATTACATTATATGAGAGAACACACTTGGTATAACTTCAATCCTTTTAAATTTGTTAATTTTTTTGGCATAACTCAGGATATGGTAATTGGTCCATCTGCACTTGAAGAGAATATGTATTCTCTTGTTGGGTGGAGTGTTCTATAACTGTCAATTTGATAAGGATATTCAGATCTAAACACTTGCTGATTTTCTGTCTACTAGTTTTATCTGTTACTGATATAAGAGTGTCGAAGTCTCCAATTACAATTGTCGGTTTGTCTATTTCTCCTTCCGGAAGAAAGGAGTCAATTTTGAAGCTCTTTCATTAGGGACATTTATATTTAGGACTGTTATGTCACATTGATGAACTGACCCTTTTATGAATATGTAATGCTTCTTTTTATTCCTGCTAATTTTCTTTGCTCTAATGTCTATTTTGTTTGATATGAAATAGCCACTCTAGGGGTCTTTTACTTACTATTTGCATGGTGTATCTTTTACCATTCTTTTTCTTTTAACCTACCTATATCATCATATTTGAAGTTTCTTGTAGACAGCAAATACTTAGATCAAGTCTTTTCTTAATCCATTCTCACAACCTCTGTCTTTTAAATGATTTACATTTAATTCAATTACTGGTATGTTTAGATGTAGGTCTATGATTTGTGTTTCCTATTCTTTTCTCTTTTTTAAAATCCTGTTTCTCTTTTCTTTCTTTGGATTGTTTTAATTTTTTTCATATTCTATCTCAATTTATCCACTATGATTTTGACTATATTTCTTTGTACAACTCTCTTAGGGGTTGCTCTACGAATTGCAAAATACATATTAACTCTTCACAGTCTACCTAGAATCAGCATTTCACGACTTCAACTGGAATGTAGAAATATTATCAACATATAGGTCCTTTACCCCCCAACACAGTTGTGTCATATATTATTACATTTACATAAATTAAAGCCCAATTGGACAGTATAATTATTTCACCTGTCAGACCTGTTTTAAGAGCTCAAGAGGAGAAGAACAGTCTATCCCATCCCCAGACACCGACCATTTCTGTTCCTCTTCCTTTAGCCCCGATGTCCCAAGTCTCCCTCTGGTATGACTTCCCTCCTGTCTGAAGATCTTCAGCCATTCTTTCAGGGCAGTTGTACTGGCTACAAATTCTCTTAGTCGTCTGTACCTAAGAATGGCTATATTTCAGTTTTGTTTCTGAAGAATACTTTCTCTGAATACAAAATTCTGGGCTGACAGTTCTTTTCTTTCAACACTTTAAAAATACCATACGGCTTCCTCTGGGCTCCGTGGTTGCTGGTGAGAAACCTGCAGACACGGAACCACTGTTCCCTCCAGGTAATGCACCCTTGTTCTCTGGCTGCTTTCACGATTTTTTCTTGTCTTTAGTTGTCAGCAGTTTACGATGTGTCCAGGTGTGGATTTCTTTGGGTTTATCCTATTCAGTATTTGCTCAGTTTCTTGAATCTGTAGATTATGTCTTTCACCAAACCTGGGACATTTTCAGCATTATTTCTTCAAATATTTTTTCAGCACTGCACTTTTTCTCCTCTCCTGGGACTCTGATGACACAAATGTTAGCCCCTTGTTCTTGTTCCACAGGCTCTGTTCATTTTTTTTGTATCTTTTGTTCTAAGTTCTGATTCGATAGTCTCAGGTATTTTAGTTTTCAAATTTCCATTTGCCTCTTCTTTCTATCTTCTATTTCTTTGCTGATACTTTCTATTTTAACATTTGTTTCAAGAATGTTTGTGATTGCTTGTTCAAGCATTTTCACAATAGCTGCTTTAAAGTCTTTCTCAGATCATTCCAACATCTATGTCATCTTATGATTGTCATGTGTTGGCTGTCTTTTTCCGTGCAAGTTGAAATTTTTATGGTTCTTCATTTGAGTTTTGGATTGCATTGGTTAAACTTGATCAGACTGGATTTTGAATAATATTATGAGATCCTAAGTCTGTTTAAATCCTATGGTGAATGTTGATATTTTTGCTTTAGCAGGCAATCAACCTGGTTAGGTTCAAGCCACAAGTTGCAACCTGCCTTTTATGAGCTGTGGCTACAAAGTCAGTTCAGTTTTCAATATCTTTGCAGTACTAAACTGATCTGAAACATGAGTGTGCCACTCAGGGGCCAGTCTGGAACCTGACTGGGAGTCTACCCATTAGCTCAGTTCTCAACGTTTCTTATATGCTAATTAGGCTCAGATCCATGCACACAGAGGTTGCGGTGAGCCCAGGAGTTCATAAACAACTTTATGGGGTTGCTTTCCCAAGCTCTTCCCTGTCTGTGGTCTCCCTGGTATTCCTGGTTCCCTGGGACTCCCATTTCTCGGGAGAAAAACCATCAACTCCCATAATTGTGAGAAGCAGGGCCAAGTGGTAAGAAGACAGAGCGAGAAAAAAAGTAACAGGTATTGGCTCTGCACTCTGAGCCCTAGCTCCACCCAAGGGAGAGGAAGGCTCTCCCCTCTCGTGGTTTTGGCTCCTGTTACCTGCTGCTGCCCCCAGAACTGTCCGCAGGCTGGGGCACAAGAAAAGGGGAGAAAGGAAAAACAGACAGATCTGCCACCTTCTCTCTGAGCTTTAGGAGTTCCCTTTCCTGCTCTGCGAACCAAAACCAGAGGGTGTCTCCTGGAGCTCCTCCGTCTGCATCCTGTGCTTGCCCCAGCCTTCACGCGGCCGAGCCCAGGCCAGGACACACCAGAGGGAATTGCCAAGCTCACCACCAGCTCAGTGGTCCTTGGAATTCCCGTGCTCTTTCCCACCCTCCTGCTGCTGCTTATTTCCCGAGTCCTCAGAAAGCTGTGCCCAGCACCGGTCCAGATCATAGTTACGTTCAGTGGAGAGAAGGGCTAGTGGCGTGTGCATATGCTGTCCTGCCCAGAACCAGGACTCTGCCTAGCTATATTTTATTATGTGCCAAATACTACGTTCACAAAAGCATTTGTATAAGTAACGTGAGATCCAGAATGGTGCTACCTTCCTGCAGAAAGGACCTGTGTGCTTCTGCCTGAGCTGACAGCACTCTGAGATTGCCTTCATGAGGGCGCCATGCTCTGAGAAGACTCCTTTCAATGCCTGGCCTATCCACTTCCAGGAGGTCCTTCCTCCTCCAGCACAGCACTCCAGCAGGGCCACCTGCCTGGCCCAGGGCTCGGAGCCCCTTTTTCTCCAGCCTGGTGAGTTATTGCAGCTTCAGCACTCAGCCTCTCAGCCACCCTGCAGGAATGGGAGATGCCCCAGAGGAAGAGTCCAACACTGGGCTCACGTCCTGGGCTCCATCCTCCCCTGGATCCTGGCCTGATAATTCTCCACTATCTTCAGATATCCCGAACACCTTCAAGCAGATGATCTTTAGAATCCGTCCAACATTTTGGTCATCCTAAGTGAATGATTAATCCAGATGAACAGATCTGCCATCCCTGGAGCTGGCTGCTTCCTTTTTATTTTCTTATAGATAAAGAAGTTGGCTCTGAAAGGCTTCCTGAGGTCAGTGCACTGTGAAGCACAAGGTGTAACTCTGGGCACGTCCTCTTACCCAGCACGTCTCATGGAAGATTGGCTTTTTTTTTTCACAAGGGTTTTCTTTTCCTTATATTAATTGTGTATGTACCAAAATCAAGAAGTCATAGATGAACATATTCTTATTTTAAAACTAAGCCACTGCAGACAGTCTGCTTCTCCGTGACCCCTCAGTCCAGGCTGGGCCTGGCCCTTTGCCAGACTCAGGTCTCAGTTCATGGCTCCACTGGGGGTTTTGTTATCAGGCTGACATTTCCCCAGAGGAACGAATCTCCAAAAGTATAACGGAAGTTACTGGAAACATAGGGTATGAGCTTTAAGATGACTTACAGGTATTTTTCGCAACTGTACCGTAAAGTCAGGTCAAGGTATATAATGGACAACTTTTTCCTGCCATCTTACAGGAAATTAAATCCTAAATCTGTTCAAGTGACTATGTGCAGCCTCCCAAGGGACCATAGTCAGGATTTAACTGACAGCCCCCAGGGCAAGCTTGCTGGCATCTGTCCACGCAGGTGCAGATCAATATCGGAGTGTCAGTTTTCCTTGGGGACAACTTACAATCAAAGAGTCTTAGCACCAAAAGGGACTTTCTGACCCCACTCCCAAAACAAGTGGAACAAACAGGGGCAGTCTCTGCAGGTGGGCCACGGGGGGCGTGGAGTTGGAGTCACATGATGACACTGGTAAGAAAGGGCGCGGGCAGAGCCCTTCAGCACACACCTATGCAGCCCACGGGCCTCACCTGCACAGCCAAGGTACTGGGCAGCCCAAGCCCGAGTGCTGCCTTGCTTGGCTCATTCAGTGAAAGACCAAGAACCAGGATACAGATAGAGATATGGCCCTGCAAGCCACTCTGTGCTTCGGGGCGACAGTGCAGGGCGAGCCCATCGCACGCAGCAGGGCACAGGGTGCCTGCCAGCGAAATGTGAGCATGAGTAAAGCTGGGCTGAGGACCACGGGGTGATGCGAGCAATACGGGGGAGGAGGCAAGCCGAGTTCCAGGGAGGACGGCTCACGGCCTCTGCTGTTCCTACCTTGGCTGGCTTCCGGCTGCAGGGAGCGCAGAGGAAGTGGGGGCGAGGATTTGGGGGCCTCTGCCGCTGGGTGCTCAGCCACCGGACAGACGATAAACCACCTCTTCCCGGTGTGCAGGACTAAGGGGCAGGATGAAAACAGCAGGTGAGAGCCAGTGGGTTTCTCCTACAGCCAGCGTGACCCCTTGCTGCCAGTACCCGACCAGCCATAAGGGCTTTGGGGAACTCTTCTCCCACCAGTGGGGGACGTGCAGCCCGCTCAGGGGGCTCCTCACCGGCAGCCGGAGGCTCTCACAAGTACCCCCGGCATGGGCTTAGTTCCCGGGACACCCTCGGTGCCACCAGTGAAGGGGTAATGCTGGCTGGGGGACCAGAAGGCAGTGGTGAGTCCCCACTGGGGCCAGACGTGGCTCCTTAGACAGGGCAGCAGTCCCCAGATGGGGGGACGCTCACCACGAGCTGCGGCAACCCCCAGTGGGATGGCCAAGCCCCCCTTACGAAAAGCTCAAGGGGCTCTTATCAAATGGCTGCTGGAAGACAGAGACGGGACCACAATGGAAACGCCTGCTCCAGAGGCAAGCCCGGGGGCGACATGGCCGGGGGCAGACATACCGTTCTGCTGATACACCGGCGCGTTCGCTTGGGACTGGCGACTCTCCTGACGGAGTTAAAGGATAGAAATCAGCAGACTGCGCAGAACGAGGGCTTCCTTTAGAGCACAGCGCGGCCTCACGACATCCAAGGGCCTCAGACGTCTCTAACTGGACAGAAGGCGCCCGCCCCGCCGGCTGCCGCACCTGGCCTTGCTCAGCCCGCAGGCCCCTCCAGCAGGCGGCAGGCGGCGTCCCAGCACTGCACTCGGAGCTGGGAGTGGGGACCCTGCACCCGGGACTCACCTCCCCGGCGCCCAGGCCGCAGGTGCTGATGTGTGGCGGGCTCACCCCGGGGTCAGAGCCACGGTCCACGTCCGTGTCCTCGCTGAGCATGTCTTCCGCCTTGTCCATGACGTCCTTCATCTGCTCGATGAACGTCTCCCGCTCGGCCTGCAGGATGAAGTCGTGCTCCACCTGCAGTGGCACACGTGGCCCCACTCGTGACGCGCCACAGACCGCCAGCTGCACTCTCCTCACTGGCTGACTCGTCTGCTCGGGGCTAAGCCCACAAGGGGAGCCACAGCCGGGGCCCGTCCCCGCACCGGGGGCTGCGCGGCTCAGCAAGGGGAGCTGCAGCTGGAGAAGTAAACTGTCCAGGTGACAGGCCAACACTACCCCAAGCAGATGGCCACCTGCAGAGGCCGGAGGATGGGGAAGGCTGCCAGCCCACATTCCCTCAGCAGGGCTGGCAGGCGTGTGCCCAAGAGACATGGTGGGGACAGGCTCGCCATCCCGGAGAAGGTGCCGCTGACTCAGCCGACTGGTCAGGACACCAGCCTCACCATGTAGGTGGCAATCTCGTCAGGCGCGTCCCCGTCCAGGTCAAACTTGAACGTCACCATCCTGTGGTTGTGCGTCTCCAGCTGGCACTCCACCATCTTGTCTCCCGTCTTGCACACCTACGGACGCACAGGTGGTCAGGCCAGGGAGGAGACCACGCCCAGTGAGCCCCCTGCCCATGGGCCACCCTGCCTGGCTACTCACGTTCAGGATGGTCAGCCGGGGCCGGCTGGCCCTCTCCTGGCGGGAGCGCACACGCGTGGACCTGCGGTGATGTTTCCGGACGGCCTTGCCTTCCAGCTTCCCCCCACCAAACGCACCTTCACAGCTGTCGCTCATCTCTCTTCCAGAGGCGACGTCGGAACCTCCGAGGCTGCGCAAAAACCAACACAGTGCCCATGGGAATGACCCGCAAGCCAGCCTCACACGGAAGCATGCCTTTTCAGGAATAGTCAAGAGCTTTAGCACCTCATGTGCTCAGCCAGAGGATCTGAAGCCAGCCATGCCCGGCAGGGAGACCCCTGAGCCTGCCCCCAGTGCCTGAAGCCCCTTCTCCCGCTGCAGCGTCTGTCCTGGGGACGTGGGGAATACATAGGACCTTGGTCCTCTCAGCCTCCTGACTTGTGAATCAGGCCCAACCGGCTTGATCCAAACGTCTGGATCAAGAAACAATCCTCCCCTGTGCCTCAGTTTCCACATCTGTGCAACACGCCAACTACGTAGGGCTGCTGCAGGATTCCTGGAGTTTGTGGAGGGCAGAGCTCGGTGCCTGGCCATCAGGAGGGAGGGACACACGGTTGCTTCTCATAACCGGCTCCCTCCCCAAACGCGACTCCATGACTGGGAGGTAACAGGTGCCCGAGGCGCCCGGAGACCTGAGTGTGGGCTGGACTCTGCCCTGCCCTCCTGGTCTCCCCATGGCCTCGGGCCTGCCGACTCTCTGTCCATGGCCTCTCCCTTCTGGAACGTCCTTGGCACTGCAGACCAGCGCCAGGACCCAGAACACAGCCAGGAGCATCTGACACCCGAATTTCAACAGGCTCTGACCAAGACCCCAGAGGAGCTCCGTGCAGCTCCACCAGATCAGGCTGGGAAACGGGCGACACAGTCAGAAGCCCTGACACGTGAGGGCAAAGCATGGCAGCGACCTGTGTGAAGCAGCAGCACGCCACGAACCGAGTCCACAGGTGGCCCACACCCGCCCACGCTGATCCCGGCCAGGCTGGGCCATTACCTCTCACAGCTCTGGAGGAGGCCGGGCTGCTTGTCCTGAGAGGCCTGCTCCTGAAACAAAACCACGGGAAGGAGGACGGGTCACGTCCACTCCTCACAGCCCAGCTTGCCCGCTCCCTTCTGACTGCAGCCACCATGCGGGCCAGCAGGTGTGAGGATTTTCATCTTCTTGAAGGCCTGGAGCCAAGGGCGTTCCTGAAAGCTGGGACCGCCCCCTCTCCAAACACGCTCACGGCTGACCAACCCCACGGGGGAGCACATGGGTCCAGGAAGGCTGGTGACAGGCCTTCCCACCACCTCCAAGGAGGCCCTCTAAATCCTCGTGTGAAAACCACCCCTCCACCTGCACGTGTGTTTGAGGAAAGCGTGACATCCAGGGACAGCGAAGGGAGGTGACAACAGCACCCGCCTGGCCGTCCTGGGGCACATGCTTCCACCTTCCCGAGTACGTCCCCCACTCTTACGGCTGAGACCAAAGGTCACCATGCAGGGGACCACCATGATGCCAGGGTCGGGGGTCAGGGTGACGCGCTGGCGCTGGGGGCTGAGCCCCAGGGGAAGGGCACACACCTCCAGGGCCGGCTCCACAGTCAGCTGGACAGCCGGGCAGAGGCCGGTGATCCCGGGCCCACTGGGCAGCGGTGGATTAGCAGGTGGCAGGAGCGTGGCAGTCTGGACGGGCAAGCTCTGAGCAGCCGCCACCACCGCGGGGGCCAGGGAGCCGGGGAGCTGAGGCAGGAGCTCGGGGCCAGCAGGTGGCAGCACTTCTGGTAGAGGTGGGGAGAGGATGGCAGCCGGTGTGGGCAGCGTAGGGACCTGGGCGGTGATGTCCACAGCATATGGAGGTGGGTGGCCAAGCAGGATCTGGAGGCACAGGGGACAGGGATGCAAGTCAGAGTGCCAGGCCACCACCTTCCCTGCAGGAAACTGGGGGGTCCTGGAGCGAAGCAGGCACTGCCCCAGCCGGGCAGTGCGCACACCGGGGCTCCGATCCGCCCTCCCCTCCCCTCCCCCACAGGCGAGTCCTGGCCTCAGAGCCGTCAGCACACAGACTCGCAGGAAGAAACAAGAATGGCCCTCTCATGTCCCCGTTTGTGTAAAATCAAACCTAAAACCGCACCTCACTGTGACCTCCGGCTGCGTCAGGCTGAGAAGCCCTGAGTGCAGCACCCCGCCGTCACCCCGAAGCCCGACCGGCCTACTACCCCGTCCCAGCCCCCTCAGGTCAGAGCCTGCACTCTGATCCGGCCTCTCGAAGGGGCCGTGGACCCCAGCCTCCTGCGGGTTGACTGGCGCTGGGCCTGCCTCCACCCCATCCCCGTTAAAATCTCTCAAGGGAATGCCCCGACGTGAAACGGCCCAGTTCACAGTTGAGGTCAGGAATGGCGATGACCCGCCACTGGGCCCACCAGCCTGAGACCCGTCAGCAGTGTAGTGTGTGGGGTCAGACGCAGAAGCCACAGCCTGGCTGTGAGCCTGTCCCTCCTGGACCAATGCCCTGGCCCCCGCATTCAGAGCAGTCTCGGCCCTCAGCACAGGGAGGCCCCTGGGTGGCTGACCCAGCCCATCAATAAACCCCAGACCCTCCAGCTGGCAGCAGGGAGCCCAGCGGGCCTGGCCGGCAACCTCTGAGCACGCAGCGCCTCCTCCAGCCACAGGCTGAGCAACGACCCAGCAACAACGGTCTGCCAGGTCCACAGGGGCAGCAAGGTGCCAGTCCAGGCCATCACTCGGCCTCTGCCTTTCCCCAAACAGCCCTGGCCCACAGTCGGCGCTGCTCTGAGTCACAGACTGTCCAGGCACTGGCTCAGTCAGGCCACTGGACTGCCGTGCCTCCTCACACTTGTTTTTAAACAAACACCCTCCTGTTGGTCAATAAAACCGTCCCTTCCTTCTCCAAGTACACATCCTTTCTGGAAATCAGACAGCGAGCAACGTCCAGGAGAACCTGTGTGTACTCAGCACGTGGAGGCTCATTCCAGACGGGAACAGGTACCACACAGGCTGGGGGCACCGGGCACCTTCGCACACTTTCAGGATGAACCTTCATGACAGAATCCAAAGGGGCTGTCAGCCCCACCTCACAGGAGAGGAGCTGGAGCTCCAAAGACAAAGGTTGTGCCCACGGGCACACAGCTGCTGTGGCTTAGAGCCAGGGCAGGGCCAGGTGAGAGGCTCCCCCAGGTGGGATGCGCCAGGTGAGAGGCCCCCCAGGTGGGAGGCCTCCCCAGATGGGAGGCGCCAGGTAAGAGGCCTTTATGCCGGCTCCTCTCCTCACCCAAAGTTTGATAATAGCCCTGAAGCTCCAAAACACATGTGGTCTACACAGGTGTGTGGAGCCACAAGGAGGCCCGCCATCCAGCAGGGCATGTGTCCCTGCGTCCCTTCACTGTCAGCATGGCAAGCTGCCTGAGGTCCCTACCTGACTTCAGGACATCGTCCGTATCCGCCACAACCGCCTTGGAACCAGTAGCCGTGTGCCCCCAGCACTGCCCGGTCCATGGCCACAGACCCCTCGGAACCCTGTCGGCCTCATCTCCCAGCTGCTGAGACGGGATCATCCCCCCGCCTCACTCTGAGAGGGGAACAAACAGGCAGTGCAAGCCTCCCTGGCGCCCATGGAGGGGCCAATGCAACCGCCCTGAGGGGAGGGCAGGTGCCACAACACCCGGCCGGGGACCCCCAACCACCAGCAGCTGCTACTGACCCTCGGGAAGGGACCGACGGTGGAACCTTTAGCTGCCCCAATTCCTGCGGCCCCTGATACATGCTGGGAAGTGGGAGGAGGAGCAGATGCCCCCACACTGGACAAGAAGCTAAGGCCAGGGGACGGCACTGCTTGCCCGTCCCTGCTGTGCCCCCAGGTCAAGGTGCTGATAAGGAGCAGAGGCCCGAGGACTCGCACCTCTGGGTGCCCAGGAGTCTCCCAGAGCCTGGAGGGCAGGCCCTGCCCAGCAGGTGGCTACCTGGCTCCCAGCACTGGTGGCCGAAGCAGCCTGCTCCGGAAGGCGAGCGATGCTAGGCTGGTGGGGCTGCGGCAGCGTGGGTGGCACCGGCTTCGGAGGGGCAGCCCGCACGGTCTGTACCACATGCAGGGGAGAAGGCGGGACATCACCGGGCACCATCTGTGGAAAGGCCGCTGGGTACACGGGCTGAGCTGGGAGCTGGGCCACAGCAGGGTGAATGGACAGAGCAGCCATGCCCTGCGGGGCCACGGCCAGCAGAGGGATGGCGGTGGTGGTGGCCACCACATTTGGCACGATGGTCCTGCACGGCACAGCCAGCGGCGCCCCAGGGGGGTGGGGCAGCTTGACCGCCTGCAGAGGCAGGGCCGGCGACGCGGGCAGGGGGGCAGCGGCGGCAGTGAGCGGGAGGCTCGGCAAGATGACGGCCGGAGAGAAATACTGAGAGTGGGGAGGCACAGTGGGCCCGCTGGCGGCCGGCAGGTCGGGGACGGCTGTGGGGAGGCTGTCGATTGTGGCCAGAGAAGCAACTGGGGGGATGACAGGAAGCGGAGGCATCTGAAAGAGAAGCAAGCATGTCAGCCAGGGCTTGTCCCCACCCGTGGCACGCCTGCACCGGGCGAGAGCGGCCGTAGGGAACCCAAATGTAAGCCCGATCTAATGGAACCCAGCGTGTGACACAGGACAACCGAGGAGGAAGGTCAGGAGGCCTCGGCGGGTGCGAGAGCCCCTGCGGCACCACGCGGAGGGGCCCACTGGACCACTCTGGGCTCCGTCATTTACTGCCAGGTGCCATGAGGATGGCAGGGCAGCTCAGACACGAGGGGTCACAGGAGTGACGACCACTTCACAGCTTTGCCTGTTTTCGTTCAGAAAGGCCAGACTGTCAGAGCCTCCAGACAGACCCCGGACATCTGAAATTACTCTGCCAGATCCCCAATCTGTATAAATTCACACTGGGGCCAGATCCTTTGGCAGGTTCTCTCGGGGGAAAGCATATCTTCGAGCCTCGCACGCTGGCTGAGGCAACACCCACGTGTCTGTCCCCAACAGTGGAGCCCTGGAACCTTCTGCATTTGATGTTCCGTCCTGGAGACACCCGGTGTCTGAAGTCATGGTTTTAGCACTTCAAACATTTCAGCAAGTTCTCTGACAGTTTTCTCTTTAAAACATAGCCTTTCTGGTGGTGGGCACGTGAACGTCACGTGAAACACACTTTTGTGTAATTATAAGGCAGCGAGAACACGCCCATCGACTTCTGTGTATTTGAAAAGCAACTAAACGGCATGACTGCTGATGAGCACTGTGGAGGTTCAACCAGATGGTGAGAACAACTCTGACGTGGGCGTGACGAGGACAAGACCGGGCGACAGGTGACAGCTGACAGGGTGGCCCCATAAACCGCAACAGTCGCGCCCTCCACAGGAAGCGGCACCTCCCAACCTAGCCCTGACGACACAACAGTGACGGGACTCGCGAGATGAAAGCCGCCCCGTGACCCAGGGTCACCAGATGACCAGCACGACCATCGATGGCACCAGCCTGGACGACAGCCCGGCCTCCAAGGAGCCCCAGTCAGCATGGCCCCGATGGCTCCGCAGTGGACAGGGACCGCAGCTTCGTGCTCACAGCTCCGCCCTAGCTCCTCGGCCTGACTCTCGACTAAACCTTTCCCGTTCTGGATGCCTGGGACAGAGGCCGAGGGCAGGGGGCACGGCAGCCCGGCTGCCCCATCACCAGGGATGTTCCCACCCGAGAGACACTCACAGCACAGAGGACAGAGACCCTCAGCCAGCCTGGGGGAGAAGGCGAGGCTGGAGGGGAGGGGAGGTACCTGCGGAGGGACTTGAGGCAGATCCTGCAGGGGCGGCGGCATCTGGAGGGGCTTCAGCTGAGCAGGGGCCACCACCTGGGAGGTCGGAGGCAGGTACGGAGGCAGGAGGGGGGCCACCGGCTGGAGAGGGCCCTGTGGGGCCAGGACCTGCGGCAGGGGCACCGGCTGGGCCAGCGGAGGAGGCTGGAGGGAAAGAAGGGGCTTCTCTTAGACCAGCGTCCTGCCGAGATGCACCCCCGTGCCCAGAAAGGACAGAGAAAACCAACTTGTGCACACACCTGCACACACAGCACACACTCGCACACACAGCACACACAGGCACACACCACACACGCACATGCACACATTCTCACACACACACCCACGTGCACGCACACCCCACCCCCCCAGCCTAGACGCGCAGACCTGGGAGAATCGATCTGGCGGCCGGGCCCCTCCCCGTGCTGAGGTTCCGTGAACTCCAGACACAAGAGCCTCGCCCCCCAACCCTGGGGAACTGCAGAGAAGGACTGGCAGGCCAGTGGCCGGGGCAGGGGTCGGGGGAGACTGAGGCATGATGGCGGCCGTGAGGAGGGGCAGCCCGCACTCACCTGGTGGCTGGGGGGTGTGGACTGGCCTGGGCCGGTTGGCACAGGGGCGAAGCTCACGGCCGGCTCTGGGAAACGCTGCTGTGGGAGTGGAGGATGGGTCGGGGGCGGGACGGAGCCCACCGGCAGGCCAGGCTGCAGAGAGCACGAGGGCCAAGCTCAGCAGCTGCCCTGAGGACCCCCCAGCTAACTCTCCACAACCACGGGGACCCGTCTCTCACTCCTCATACCCGCTGTCCTGCCAGGGACACTTTTTCTAGGAACACAATTCGGCAGAATCAAGGTGTGCTGGCCCCTAAACCAGAAAAGCCACAACTCCCCACCGTGGAATGTTCTGGAACATCAGCTCCACGGAACACTATGCAACCATGAGGAAAGATCATTATAAAGGCTTTGTGGAATTGTGCAGAAACACTTGTGACATTAAGGGAAGGAGAGATACACATGCCCACGCTCACCGTGTAGAGGACACATAACACGTATACGTGTAGACACGTCCACAGATGGGATACAGAAACTGGGGAACGGCCGGCAGGACGGCGTGGGGCAAGGAGCACTCTGCAGAGCCAGGGTCCCACTGACTCAGCCACCAGGAGAGAGAAACGAGGCACAGACATGAGCCCTCACCCCCAGCCACAGTGCAGACACCGACCGGGAAACACTCGGAAATCTGATCACCGGCTGTTGGGTGCTATTAAGAACTGCTGCTAATTTGTTCATTTTTAGGTGCAATAATGGTATTAGGTTTTGTTTTCAAGGGTCCTGATCCTGCAGAAACACGGACTGAAATATTTATGGGCAAAATGTCTTTCTTTCCAGGATTTACTTCAAAATACTGAGGATACAGAAGCAAGTGGGGCGATGGAGGACCGGTTTGGACACAGCAGTGACTGAGCCGAGGGCCCAGCTCTCCACATCAACAACAGAAAGTCCTCTCACATGGGGTTTTCTGGATGAAACAGCTGACAGTAATTTCCACAACTGTGGCCACTCCTTGCACCTTTCGCAGTGCACATGTTGTGACAAGCAGCACTGGTGGGAGGGAACCACTTCTGCATCTACCTGAAGCCATGGCGCGGAACAAGCCACCCGTGCACTTGTTCCTTGAGCCGCCACCACCCCCAGCCCAGCGGGAATCAGGAGCGTGTGGCCCTGAGGCCTCAGAGGAGAGGCGGCCGTCTGTTCTCCTCCCTCACTGGGTCCCAGGGCACATCACTGCAGCAACCCGCCCCAGAGCCTCAGCGCACCCTGGGGACCTCCTCCAGCCTCCCCCTGCTGTCCAAGGTGTTTCTGCACAGCTGGCAGATGAGGACAGTGCTCTGGCCGTGTCCATCTGGGTGCGTCCTGGCTGGGCCCTCGACCTCCCTGTGCTCGGGCTCCCGGCCTCTGGGACAGGCACATGCTGAGGCCCCAGCAGACAGCACAGCATGTGGCCAGGGAAGCCCTGTCCCTGACCCGGGAGGGGTGCGGGCCGGCAGGATGTTCTGGCTCAGTCCCGGCACGGAGACCCAGAGCCCAGAACCAGCGCTTGGAGCAGCACAAGGCCTTTTCCTGAATGGGCGCTTCCTGTAGAGTGAAATCACAGCTCTCCTCCTTTCCTGAACCCAGGGAGACTGCAAACGCACACGAGCACGAGGACAGGAGGGGAGGGAGGGAGACAGGACCGGGCGGGAGGCTGGGCGCCTGGTGCTCAGACAGCCGGTGAGAGCCACGAGTGAGAGCCATGTAAGTAACCGAGTGCCAGGCGGGAGCGGCTCCTCGGAGGGGTGCCCAGCTCTGACCCGTTTCTGGCCTGGGGGTCTAAACCTCCCGCTGGACCCCCTCCACCACCCGCCTCAGGGGAAACTTCTCTGTGCTGACCGCTTAGGACTGTGAGGCGAGCAATTGTTTGCTTCCTTTTGTGTTAAAAAAAAATCAAAATTGAAAAATAAACGCCAGATGCGACCCCCTCATCTACTAATTTCCATTTCACCTGTTAGTCAGTCTTCCCACATCTCAGAAAGATTCCACAGGCAGAAACATGAGGTCCTTTCAACCTGCTTCTCACACGTCCCTGAAAACGTGTCCCACGAATCGGCCGCATGCACAGCCCTGTCAGAGCCGCAGAGTGCCCGGGGTGGGCGGGGAGGCCAGGACACACCCAACACCCCTCGGGGAAGCTGGACCCCGAGACGGAACCGAAGGTTTCAGCACTATAAATTACACCTTTCTGTAACCTCTGCTCCAGTCTGAGGTACCATCTCAGGCCCAGCGCGGCCACGGGGCGGGTCCCTCACGCTTTATCACAGCTTTGCCAGCACTGGTGTGACTGGCCAGCAGGTCTCTCAGAGGAGGTCCCAGACTGCTCTGGCTGCAGCCGTGCCATCACCAACAGGGTGCACCGCTGCGGGTGGCTCTGGCACGAGGGGCGGGGACTCACCGAGGCGGGCTGCTGGTAGGACCCCAGCCCAGGCAGGCTGGGCGGCAGGCCGGGCCCGTCGCTGGCGCTGGCACTCACGGGGGGGCTGCACACGCACTGGGCGGGGGGCGCTGCATCTGCCAGCGAGCCCAGCGCCCCGCTCCGCTGGCTGCTCTGCGAGTCTGAGTAGACGGTGGAGCCCTGGCCGCTGTCGAAGGTGCTGTCGGCTGCGGAGGACAAAGGCACAGCTCAGAGCGGCCCCCGTCGCTCATGGCGCCCCCGTCGCGGGAGCACAGCACGGGCAAAGGCGCTGACGCCCAGCTCGGCTGCACGTTTATCCTGCGAAACAAAGACCACGTGGGTCATACACACACGTTGATTTAGACAAACAACTCCACAACAGCGCAAACGTTGGGGGCTGTATGTGCAGCGCCCCGAGGTGGCCTGGCATTGGGGGGCACCTGCCGTGGGGCCACGGGCCCCAGCCCGGCACCTCGCACAACCGCGGGAAGGACGGTGGCTTCCACTGGCCCACAGACAGGCCCACCTTCGCCCCGACCCGACCTTGAAAGTGGGCCTGTTCAGTCTTCAGGGCACGAGGGTCTCAGGGGGCTCAGGGCGTGTCTGGGGTAGGAAAAGCTACGGGGTCAGGTTCGGTCGTGGGGAGGAAACGATGACACTGTGCTTGGTAAGGTGGGAGGGGGTCACAGACCCTGACCACCTTGCTCACCGCAGCAAAGAGCTAAAAGTAGGAAGATCTGGGTCCAAATCCAGCCCTCACGTCACAGGCCTGGGTCTAACTCGGTTGGGAAGTGGGGCTCCACAGAGACGCCGTGAGGGGGGACTCAGAGGCTCCACAGCCCTCGGAGACCCCCAGAGCCGGCCTCACCCGCGGTCAGCCCAGCACGGCCCGTCAAACCAGCAGCGGTGGACAAGCCGCCCACACACAGGGCACAGACGGCACCACACGGCCCACAGGCGCGTCTGCCAAGACGGAGAAGACAGGCCACCGGCGGGGCCATGCCGTGAAGAGAGAACAAAGAGCCGTCTGGAGCGGCACCTTCAGGTGACTGCCGCCAGACCCCACGAGCCACACAGACGTCACCGTTTGCTACCTACAAACACCAACCATTTCTACAGTGTTGGCATCGAGTCCACTTGTAATTTAAACAAATACAGTAAAAGGGAATCTTGTCTGCTTTGCATCAAAATAATTTTTCCCTGGGGCTGATCTGAATTCACTTTAACTTGGGAAGACATAAAAACGCTGAGGTGTGAGCGCACAAAACTAACCAGACAAGGGGCTCTGAGTGTATGTAGTGAGGTGGCTGGTCGTCCTTTCCACTTACACAGAGACAGAGAGACAGGGAGACAGGGGGAGACAGAGACAGACAGAGAGACAGAGAGAGAGAGACGGGGAGGACATAGAGACAGAGAAAGAGACAAAGAGGCAGAGACAGAGAGACAGACAAAGACGGAGAGACTAAGAGAGAGATGGGGGACAGAGAGAGAGAGAGACAGAGAAGGAGAGACAGACAGACAGAGACAGACAGAGAGTGCACACGAGAAAGAGAATGTGTACAGACTTGACAAATTTCACATAAAGCAACCCTAACCATATAGATAACATCTTACATTTTTTAAGGGAATGTGTTTGTTATTGGTATAATTCAACTTTAATTTAAAACATGGTTTTTAAACCTGTTCTCGGGCTGGCCCCGTGGCTTAGCGGTTAAGTGCACGAGCTCCGCTACTGGCGGCCCGGGGTTCGGATCCCGGGCGCGCACCGACGCACAGCTTCTCCCGCCATGCTGAGGCCGCGTCCCACATACAGCAACTACAAGGATGTGCATCTATGACATACAACTATCTACTGGGGCTTTAGGGAAAAAAAAAAGGAGGAGGATTGGCAATAGATGTTAGCTCAGAGCTGGTCTTCCTCAGCAAAAAGAGGAGGATTAGCATGGATGTTAGCTCAGGGCTGATCTCCCTCACAAAAAAAAAAAAAGAGAATAAAAAAAATAAACCTGTTCTCACAGTCAGTGGGGCCGGCCCAGCCCTCCCCTCGAGCTGGGTCTGGACTGTGGTGAGAAGCCAACAAAACACGTGGTGGAGAATCACAGAATATGAGGTTTGCTGTTCCTTCCGACACAGGAAGTATGAGTGTTTGCCTGAGACCAGGTCTTTTCTCTGGTGACGTGTGTGCTCCCCGGCGCCCCCCTCAGCGCACATTTATGAAGCATGGGGCAGTCCAGCCGTCCACAGGCACTGCAGCCAGAGGGACGATGTGCATGGGCTTCCTGCTGTGACCAGAGCAACATGCGGAAGAGTGTGTGCAGGAGCTGTAGGTTGTGGGATAGAGGGAGACACGGGGGCGTGCATGTGTGAATGCATGTGTCTGGGTGTGCGAGTGTACACGTGTGTGGGTGTCTGTGTACATGTGTGTGCTGTGTGCATGCATATGTGCATGTATGTGTGGGTGTGTGTATGCGGTGCATGTGTGGGGTGTGTGCATGTGTGCATATGCATGTGCGTGATTGTGCTGCGTGCACACGTGTGTGCCCATGTATGTGAGTGTCTGCATGGTGGACTGTATGTGTAGATTATCTCTGGAAGGTACAGTGAAAAGATGGGTGACAATAGTGGCCTCCAGGGAGGAAAACTGCCTGGCTTTGGCTGTATACCCTCTTGGACTTGTTGAATTTTATATGATGTAACTATATTATCTACTTGAAACAAATTACGATAAATGGGTAAAATCCGATTTGAGAAGCGTGGCCACTGCGTGAAACACAGAGAACCACCCTGAGTTGGGCAGGGAGGGGTCTGTTTGCAGAGAGAACTCCCCTCCTGACTGAACCCCCCTGTTGAGTCACGTCTACACAGCAGGTGGAACCTGTGCCTTGACCTCCGACCACAGCGGAGTGTGTTCTAGGCCCCAGATTGTCTCTTCAAAGGGTGACAAAACGGAATTTTTTAATTCCTGTCCTAGAAATTGTTCAACCAACAATCAGTGGTGCATCAGACATGGAGAGCTTTCTCCTACAAAACGTTTACCCTCTTTAATTAGTTTTCTGGTTTATCAGAAAATGGAGCGCTGACGTCATGACTTTATTCTCCAAAGCAAACCCGGCCAGGCTGGAGGAGAGGAAACAGCAGGCCAATTTCTCAAAGTGACGGCCAGCCAAGGTTTGAATTTAAACAGCCGACTCTGAAGAACGTGTGGCTATTTTAATGATAAATGAAGGATGTGCCTATTAAATAAATTAAACAGACTATTTCCGTCTTTCCACACGAACAACCTGACAGAGCGGCCTGGGCAGGGTTCTGGGCCTGCAATTTTACTCCGAGCTTATTCACAGAACAGAGAGAAGGGCCACATCCTCCCTCCTCAGCTCACAGCTGAGTTTTGGGGACGCTGAGGGCAGAGGAGGACGTGTGTCAGCCCAGGCATGCAAGAGGCACTGGACTCTCTCCCAGTGGTCTGAGAGGAGGCCGCGTGAAAACGGTTCCCGCCCATCCATCGGCAGCACCCCCTCCATCTTACTAAAGATCTCAAAGGTTCGGCACTGGAAGGGAGATACCCTGGGGACAGATAATCTCAGCAGCAAAGGTCACAACTGAGATCGGGGCACCACCACTCGAGGCCACAGCCACTCACAGCCCCAGGGCAATGGCGTCCTGGCCCAGACGCCCCACCAGAATGGGGTACAGCCCTCAAGTGCCCCGTGTGGCCGGGGCTGACATCGTCCAGACGGGATTAGCAGCCGGATCGAGCCACCCTAGCCCCACTGGCTTGGGGCATAGGAGGTTCTGGGTCTGTGTGCACATCTGCCCCCCGTCCTGAGAAGCTGGACCGGAGCCAGCCTCGAACCCCTCTGGTCACAGATCTCTGTGCAGCGTGGGGGACACTCCCGATCCACCCTGGAAGAGTGCTTGCCTGCACAATCCATACCCGCAGCAGGTAGGGGCACTCAGGGAGGGCAGCACTCACAGGCCAGGGAGGTGGCGCTGGCCGGCAGCGCAGCGGGGAGGAGGTGCTGGTCGGCCTCGGGCTCCTCGGGCTCCGGCGGCCCAGCCTGCGAGTGGTAGGTCACCTGGACCTGCAGGGGTGCGGGCAGGCCCCTGGCCTTGTCGGGGCTGCCCGGGTCCCGCGGCTCCTGGGGCTGCAGCGCCGGCCAGATCCTCTCCCGCCGCCACTGGATCAAGGCCACGCGGTCACGGATGGACTTGGCCACAATCTTCAGGTCGCTCTCGTGGAAGAATCCTGACTCAATCTGCAAAGAGAGTCACCCTGTCGTCACTGGTACCAGCCCTGCCGTCTGCACCGCTGCCTCCCGCTTTTGGGGTCTCCACCCCAAGTCCTCTCCCTGCGCCCCTCACCCTGGCTTATCCCTCTCAGGGATGCTCTCGTCACCGTGTAAGTAAACATCCTCTGGCCATCAAGTGTAAGTCCGCAGGGAGAGTGACCGTCTGAACCTGTACCAGCCCCACTCCTGGGACGACAGGTGCTGGGAACCGTGGGCGAGTGGGGAGGGGAGACCCCAGCCTGCCCCCCTCGGGGCCCTGGGGCTTCCCGGAGCCTTCCCCACGCTGACCAAGGGCGGGAAGGGGTCCTGGCCGCATCTGTGTGCTCGGGGGCAGGGACAAGCAGCCATCCCCGGCGTTCTCAGAGCAGTCCCGGAGGCTGGGGGGAGGCACACTCTATAACGTGAGACCAGGAGGGTGTGCACGTCGCCTGGCAAAACTCTGAACCCGATTTACCCAACGGAACATTTGAGAGCGTCTATAAAGGAGCCACCGACCTCCAGGAAACACGCGGCTCTCTCTGACGATGTTTGTAGCAAAACCACCAAAGAGCGGAAGCCAAACGCCTCGCATCACCGTGGGACTCCCCACGTGGAAGGGAGGAAACCAGAAAGGAACCCTGTGCTCTGGACAGGACTGTGTGAACTCAAGGTTTCCAGCGCACCACACACACAAATGCACGCAGAGGCAGACGGGAGCCTGTGCACGTGGTACAGTGTGCACAAGGAACAGAACACAGGAGTGGGCCCGGGCACACTCAGGCCCGGCCACTGTGAGAGGGTGGGCTCCCTATGGAACAGCAGGTTCAGGCTGGCAGGGCAAGGACAGGGGCCTGGATATCTCGCTGAGCCCAAAAGGACGTGCTCGGAGAATGACGACGTGCGGAACGACACGGGAGCCAGCGCCCACGGCCGCCCACCGGCCGAATCTGGGACATTCTGAGCATCAAAGCATACAGCCGTGCCAGGAGGGTTTGAAGGACGTGTCCGCAAATACCCACGGGAGGAACGCGAGTGATCATGGTGGCAGAAGTGACGGCATCACTGCCTCCCTGAGGTGACAGTGGGGGCCACGCCAGGCAGGTTCGCCCTCCCTCTTGTCTCCCTCTCTCAGTCTCTGTCTCTCTGTGTCTGTCTCACTGTCTCTGTGTGTCTCAGTTTGTCTCTCTGTCTCTCTCTCTTTCTGTCTCAGTCCCTGTCTCTGTGTCTCTCTCTGTGTCTCTCAGTCTCTTGTCTCCCTGTCTGTCTCTGTCTCGCCCTCTCTCTCTGACTCCCAGTCTCTCCTGTGGACCACCTGCTCACGAGAAGCCATGTCACAAGCAGCCCTATGGAACATCCCAGCCGGCTGAGAACTGAGTCGGGTGAGCGAGCGTGGTCGCTGACCTTCGGCCCCGGTCAGCCCTGGCCGACACCCAGCCGCACTCGTGAGGGGCCCTAAGCCAGAAGTGCCTGCTCAGCCGCTCCCGGAATGCTGACCTGGGAGACCATGACCACAGTGTGCACAGAGTGCGTTTGGGGTGGGCTGTCGGGCGGCGAAAGGTAACTCCCCAATGGAGCACGTGACCTACTGAATAAGAGGGAAGCCGTGGGTCACAGAGATATAAGTAAGTGGAAAGTCTGGTGAAAATGGAGTATTTACATAGTTTCAAGCCACCTCCCCACAAACGGTTATCAATTATAGCTTCACATGGAGCCCCCGGCAGACACCCCTCAGCCACGTGACCGCGGGAGCGTCGCCACTGGGTGGCCGCGGCATGGACACCGATGCTGCTGGGACCCAGAGGGAGCTGAGCCAGGGGGTGGCTGCCGCGCCCTTCACACAGACGACTGACCACAGACACGACCCCCACGCTGGACGACTGGGCCCCTGAGCCAGGCTGCTCTCCTGGCTCTGACGGCCGAGGAGGCTGTGCAGGAAGGCCCTGGTCGGTGGGAAGGAGGCATAGGCATATTCGGGGGACACAGCATCAGGGGACGTCAGTCACCTCCAACAGTTCTGTCTCACGTTTGCAACTTTTCTCTAAGTTTGTGATGACTTCAGAAAACTCCTTCCCGAAGCTGACCCTGTGACAGAGGGACCTGCTGAGATCCCGCAGATGGAGGCCGCGGTCTCCCCGCCAGGCTTGGCCCAGGACAGCGGGAGTCAGCGGGGCCCACGCAGCTGGGACACGCGCGAGGGCCGAGCCTGGGTCAGCGCCCCCGCCCACCCGCCAGCGGGACCCATGCGGCCGACCTGAGCAGAGGCGCTGAAAAGAAGGCATCCCACAGACGCACCTGCCCCGCTTCTGTCTGCCCACGACCCACTTTCCCTTCAGCCTCCGTCTTCACAGTGGCCCCCAGCGAGCCTCTCCAAGGTGTTTCTTCTATTTTCTCCCAAATGGGGGAGAATTTAGCCACATTCTGTGCCGCACCGCAACGGCCCATTATCCAGAGGCCGTGAAGGCGAGAGGAGGGGCTGGCATGGTGGACGCGAGAACCGCTGAGCTGGGCCCGCAGCCCCCGTCCCTGGGGGTCCTACAGAAGGGTCACTCCAGATCAAAGCCAGCCCAGGTCCCCAGAGAACCCGCCCTCCTCTCAGACCCCGGGCACCTGCGTTCTGATCCATGTCCATGCATGCCTGCCCCGTGTCCCCGCCTGCGGGACCTGCTGGGAGGTGACTCTAGGGGGACAGGAGAAAGCTGTCCCATCGGCCTCCCTCCCACCCTCAGGAAGGCGGCCTCGTCTGGTTCCAGAACTTCTTCAACACCCAACCCTCGCTGACTGCGGGTGTTAAGAACACGGCCGCCCGACCCCACCGCGGGTGCCTGGAACCAGCAGTGGGCGAGCCCTACGCGTTCACTACCTGTTCATGACAACTGACGCTGCTGTTCCATTCCTGGTTGTCTCCTCGTTAAATTACTCTAAGTTTTGAAGCAGTGGGTGTGTTGAGTTAAAGCCATCAGTAAGTGATGCCCAGCAGAGCAGCCGGGAGAGTGGGCCCTGAACCGCCGCCCCCTTGGGCCTCCTTATCCCGCCCCAGCTCAGGAACGGCCCAGAAGGGGCCCAGAGCGGCTCTCAGGGCCCCAGAAGGAGGGCTCTGGACCCCGATGTCGGCTCTGGTCCCGCAGATCTGTTGCCCACGGGAGCCTGCGCAGGCGCCTCCCTCCCAGCTCTTCCAGCCCACCCTCCGGGCCGCAGTCCACGTTCTCCTCCTCAAACCCACGCGTGCCCAGGAGTCCAGCTGTGGAACCCACTGGCGTTCCTGAAAGACGTGCTGCACTTGGTGAAAGGTTTACTTAAGAAAAGAGGACGGCCGCGCCCCTCTGTGACGAGCGCTCGCTCTCGCCACGCCCACGCCGGCTTCGCTCTCGCTCAGTTCTTCCAGTAAAAATCAGCGTCTCACTTATTTCTCACATGCAAATCTTCCCTCCGCGATACTGAACTCTCCACACCCCTGCGTCTGCCGGGCCTGCTGGACCAGAGCGCCCTCAGACACAGAATGAAAGAGAGCTCGAACTCAAAGGCCCACGTGTGCACAAAGGCAGCAAGAATCTGGTCAAAACGGGGCCTTTCCTGACACACGAAGGCCCGGGTCCCTCTCAGCGCCAGTTCCTAGGTGATGTTCCGCATCTGTGCAGCGGGCGACTCCGACCTACGCGCCCCGTGGACGGGGATCCCGTCTGCACCCCAGAACTGCTGCTCACCGCAGGACCACGTGCCGTTTCTGACTTCGTCCTAACCTTTGGAAACCACGCGCTGGCGAGGCGCGCGCCCGGCTTTCCCGCTGCCCTCCTGCACCCGCAAGCAGCCACCTTACCATCTCCTGCGCCACGTCGTCCGGCGTCTCCCTCTCCAGGTCAAAGGTGAACTCAATGGCCCCGTTGTCCTTGGGCTTGCCCTTCAGTTTCTTGGGGTCCTCGACCCAGAGCCGCAGGGCGATGGTGGACTTCCTGCCGTGGTCCTCCTCCGCCAGCTCCACTCTCACGCCCGTGTCCTCCGCAAAGAAGGCGTGGCTGAGCAGGTCCTTGATCTCGTACCTGGGGAGGGGGCACACCTGCTGGGGGGCTCTACACACTCTAGAAAGTGCTCTGACTGTACTCCCCGGGAGGCGGGCGGCACACCACAGTTCCCATCTGCAACGCTAACTTCTAGGGAGGAGGAGAGACCACACCTGACACGTCTCACTGCGTGGTCTTTAAGACTTCTTTCCTCTCAGTATAAAAAGAAAATATGCCCGCTCTGAGACTCAGGAGTTCACAGCATTTTCACAAGGGCTCCGCACCGTGCAGACAGGCCTGCTGAGGAACTGCGGGCTCTCAGGCATCACAAGGCACCTGCTCCAGGTAAGACTGAACTGGACCTTCGAGAGGCAGACCCCGCATCCCAGAGCTCACACCCGGCACCCTGAGGGGTCCTGGCCTCTGGGAGCAGGGATGTCTTCAGGGGGCTCCTCAGGATGGGTGGGGGCGTGCGGATGCTGGGTGTTGCCATGGTAACCACCCGGCCACTCAAACCCGCATCCCTAAACACTAAGTCAGTTCCTGTCTCCAGCACGAAGGGATCCACATGCTGTCCTGGGCCTGGCTTCCTCCCAGGGTCCTGTCTGCGGTCACCCCGGTCTGCAAGGTCCAGCGGCCCATCCCCCCGGCAAGTGGAGCCCACCCCCATAAACGGTGTGCAGGCCACAGCCAGCAGAGCAACCCTCAGCCAGGGCAACAAGTGCCTGTGGGGCCCCTGGGGCAGGTCAGAAGTCACGGTCCCTGGGGAGTGGAGGTCATGGCCCCTGGGGGGACAGAAGTCATAGTCCCTTGGAGGGGAGGGATTGTGGCCCCTGGGAGGGAAAGGTCGTGGCCCCTTGGGGGGGAAGGTCGTGGCCGCTGGGGCTCTGTCTGTCCTGCTCTGGGAGGTGATCTCACACGCAGGGTCTGCTCTAAGGATTCTTTGGTTCTACATGGTTGTTTCTGTACTTTTCTGATATGGGTTATATTTCACAACTTTTTAGTATTTTTCTTAGAGAATAAAACACGATAACAGGGGGCAGGAGAGAAGGCCCAGGGACCAGGACAGGGACCCTGTGTGAGAGATCACGGCCATGGAAAAGACAGTGGTCAATGCTGGGGACGGTGACAGGGGATGGAGGACATGTGCTGGGTGTGCAGGGGTGAGGAGGGCACCCAAGGGGGCAAGGAAGAGGTGAGGGCAGGGAGGAAGAGGAATGGGGAGGATCATGGGGGAAGGGAAGAGAGGAGGAGAAAAGAGGGATGGAGGGAGGAGGGGAGAGGGAGAAAGGCTCAGGATGCACGCCAGTCTTCCTGGCTGACCAGCTGAGGAAGGAGGGGCCCTGATCTGAGGTGGGGCTGGTTTGGGGGCATCTTGAGGGCTCATCTTGAACATGAGACTTGAGGTGGCTCAGACACAGGTACACGGAACACGCAGCCTGGAGTTGAGAAGAGGGCAGGATGAGACGCACCGAGAGGCGGGCACAGGGTTGTCCTCCAGGCCGGGGGAATGGATGGGCCCACGGGGGACAATGCACAGAAAAAAGATCAAGGGCAGAGCGAGACCCACGCTCCAGGCTGGATGGGCGAGAAGCAGCCAGTAAAGGAGAGAGAAAGGGGCTCCAGGATGGTCCCCAAAGCAAGGGAGCATGTTCCAGGCGGCAGAGGTCGGGCCAGGGCCACCCCACAACTGCCTGATAGGCTCGCTGGCACCCGGACGCCAGGGCCTGAAGCGGCCTGTCTGTCTCCTAAAGCTCTTCTCTGGGCAAGCCGGCTCTGTGGACCAGGGGGAGCACTGCGACCGGCGCAGCACCGAGGCCCAACGTGGCGCAGAACTCACCTCTCCTCCTTGTTTTTGCAGATGCACTCCCCAATGATCTCCTTGATTTCGGGATCGTGCACCTTCTCAAAGCTGGCCGGCTTGATGCCCTGAAATGACAGGAGCCAGTCATCTGACCCTGAACCGGCCGCTCCCCTCACACTAGCTCAGCAGAAGAGAAGGCGAGAAGGACAGGAGGCTCATTCTGGGGTTCGTCTCATTCCAAGTCCCCACTCTGGAAGGGCTTTTGGGAGTAGTGAGGTCTGGGGAAGAGAGACTCAGGGACGCTCGCTCCTCCCGACCAGCTAGAGGCTGCGTGGAGAGGGCGAGGCGGGGTGGGATGGACCTGCCCGAGGACACACACCCGCCAGCCAGAAGGTCCCCACTGGACGAGGAACCAGCCCCACGGAGCCACCCCATGTCACCACACCCCTGCTCAAGGGTGCTGAGGGCACGCTCTGTGGTCACTGCTGCTGGCCGAGGGCCACCAGAGACTCAGGCCCCACTGTGGCCACAGGCAGGGCTGACTTCCAAGGCCTGGTGGCTCATTCTGTGGCCAGCAGCCAGGCCAGGTGACTTTCAGGCAGGGGGGGCAGAGGGTGACCGAGCGTCCATGCCAACCACAGACCCAGTGGGTGCCAACCTGGGGGTGGCCACAGCCCAGCCAGCCCAGAGCACAGACGCAGGCAGAGGGGATTGCCCTGGAGGCAGGACCTGACCGCGGGGTCTGTTTGCCGTCTGCTGGAGGTAGGGGCGTCGGGGCAGGGGCCCCTGGTTTTTAAACACACTGAGGCCTCAACCACCTCGTTCTTCTTCCCTCAACAAAACTGTGTTTCCAGGGGCCCCGTCCTGGCCTGTGTTTTTTAATGCAGAGAATGTGAAGCCTGCGTTTTCCCATGGCGGGTGCTCAGTCCCTGTCTCCCCGAGCCCAGCAGATGGACCGCCAACCCATCCACGTGTGCAAACCACAGGTCGGCAGGCTGCTTCTCCGCACACGGGCACCAGCACCCTCTCAGGCCTGGCAATGAGGCCCTGACCTCCCTCGGGTCCCCCCGTCCCCCGCAGGACAACTGCCCACAGGCCATGGGACCACCCTCTCCTGCCAGCACCCCCGCAAGCTGCACTTATCTGTGGGTCTCTGACGCACGCCCACAAGTGCCACCAGCCAAGGACTCTGCCTTCCCGCCTCACAGCCTCAGCAGCACACGGTGGGGGGCTCAGAGCAAACAAGCGACCAGTAACTTAGAACTAAGAACCAGAGGAGAAACGAGCTGTGGCCTGCGAGGAGGGCTGGGGGGGGCAGGTGCCCAGATGCCAAGAGCCACTGCTCCTCGTGTGTCTGCAGGAGTGAGGAGGGTGCACTGGGGGCTGGGTGAGGTGGCCAAGACTCGGGGGCTGTGGGGCCTGGTGCTCGTGAGTGCAGACCGGCAGTGAGGGACCAGGGCCCAGAAGGTCCAGGCCTAGCTGCCCCACCCCGGATGCTCCCTCCTTGTCCCCACCCCGCGGGACGCTCAGAGGGAGGGCAGGACCATTTGCTTGCACAGCTGAAGCTGTCTGATTAAAGCCAACGACTGCCTGGGGATACACGTAAGACGGGAAAGCCAGCGGCCCGGGGCGGCCTCGCCGGTGCCTCAGCCTCGCAGCGCCGTGGGGACTATGACAGCCTCTGGCAGCGTCCCAGCACCCACGTGACTCTTACTGCCATGGGGTTTCCACCTCGAGCGTGGAGACCTGAGCGACCCCGCCGCCTCAGCCTCAGTTTCCCCACCCGTAAAGTGGCTTCGTTCCCTTCCCCACACAGCCGCTGTGAGGATCTCACAGGGCACAGAGCCCAGCCGGGACACGGCCCGTCGCAGCGACAGGTGGACTCACACAGGTGACCTTGCGGTAGATCTGGGCGGCGTTCTGGCACTCCGAGTAGGGGTACTCCGAGGTGGCCATCTCCAGCATGCACATCCCGAAGGCGTACACATCCACAGACTCGTCATAGTGCTCCTCGTACATCTCGGGGGCCATGAACTCGGGGGTACCTGTGCCCAGGAGCGACAGACTCAGCATCAGCGGTCACTGGGCCTGGGAGCCCCCTCGGCCTCTCAGAGCCCCACGCCTCCTCCCTATCCACGTGCCAGGGCCAGCCCGGCCCCCACGCTCTGCACCACTGGACCCAGAATCTGGGATTCAAACAGGAGTGCTCTGTGGACATAAGTTTCCCAAAACTCTCCCTGACCCTCCTGAGTCTGCTTTGGATCAGCTCGCAGCACCATCACCCGCCCACAGCTGGGAGACCATTCCTTCCCGGGGGAGAGGGTCTGTGTGCAAAATCCAGGAGGCAGACCCCTGAGCGTACACCCCTCCTGGCCACAGGTCTGGATAGCCCAGAGCAGACAAAAACTCGCGGTCACCACAGAGCCACTCCACTTGCAAAAGCCCAGAAAGGCCCAGTGTCCCCAGAGAGGCACCATGCAGCCGAGCTTGAGGCAGCACAGATGACGAGACAGCCACCAGAGACAGCTGGGCAGGTGCCATTCACCCGGCAGCTACCTGCCAGGGGTCATGGTGGGAACTGCTCATGCATTCTAAGCACAAAAGGTTTAAAATAACGCTTATTCTGCATTTTTAAGGACATGGAAGACTTAACCATAGGCTGAGAAACATAAAATACACGATCGTACATACACGCTGACCCCCACATAAGACCACAAGCACAGACCAAAGGACTCGTTTGGAGGGGTCACGGCTGACTTTTCCTTTAGTTACACTGGTCTGGGTTTTTAAATTTTTCTTTAACAAACTTGTGCTTTAAAAATCACAAAATCTTTTCATTAAAACGGGTCCAACTGGGCTGGCCACGTGGCTTAGCGGTTAAGTGCACGCGCTCCGATACTGGCAGCCTGAGTTCGGATCCCGGGCGCGCACCGACGCACCACTTCTCTGGCCATGCTGAGGCCACGTCCCACATACAGCAACTATGACATACAACTATCTACTGGGGCTTTGGGGGAAAAAAAGGAGGAGGATTGGCAATAGATGTTAGCTCAGAGCCGGTCTTCCTCAGCAAAAAGAGGAGGATTAGCACGGATGTTAGCTCAGGGCTGATCTTCCTCACAAAAAAAAAAAAAAGTGTCCAACTGAGTGTCTGTTGAGCTGAATGCAAAGAAAAGAGGCCGCTGACCTCGACAAGGCTGCTGCAACTTCTCCATCTTTATTGACTCTGGAAGATTTTCAAAATGTTTCAGTTTTCTAAAAAGCAGATGCAAAACAGCACAAACTGTTGTGTTAGAAAGCAGGTGGGGACCATCACGTGTTCACAGGCATCTCTGCAATGCAGGGAGGTTACTGGGGATTGTGATTTCTTCTTGCTTACCCATAATTTCAATTTAACATGTATCATACGTTTAACAAAAAAAGTTAACATCTGGGGAGACCAAGAATCTATGTTTAGATTTACGTATGTGCATAAAGAATTCTGGAAGATTCCATCAGAAATAATGGGAGCTGAGTGGAGAGAGAACAGGAGTCCCAGGGACCTTGCACTGGGAATTTTTCATCTTCTTGGGTTTTTTAACATAATTGTGCTGAAAAGTTTTTGCACCTGGCGTGTCCATCCACAGGGAAGAGGGAGAAGGGAGCCCCAGGGCTGCTAGCGGGAAGCTGGGAGCTGAGCTGGCCCAAGGGGATGCCCACTCACCCAGGGGGACCCCCACTTGCCCGGCTCGGTCTCATCTGAGACCTTTGGGAACCAGGAACACTGCTCTGGAAGAAACACCCCAAGGCCCCAGACGGCCTGCTGTGGGGTGGGCAGCGGGCGTGCGGGGTGCCCAGCTCTGCACATGTGCTCGGGCCAGGGACACAACCTTTTTCTCTTTCCTCACACTGTAGCCACTTAAATCCGAACGTTAAAAAGAACACGTGTGCTCACGCACATACACACGCGTGTCCAGTGCCCTCCGGGCAGGCAGGGCACCTCCTTGGCCCCCACAGCCAGGCATTCGCCTGCTCCTCCCATTTCACAGACAGGGAAACTGAGGCCTAGATCAGCCCCCGCCCCCATCCCTCGGGTCCCCGGGGCTGCCAGAGGCCCCATGCCCAAGGGCACCCCCAGCGGCCACCCTGCCCAGCCATCACATTCCAAACCCACTGCCCCTGCCAGAGAAGCTTCCAGATTCCCAGCGGTTTCATTTCCCACAAACAGGCCAAGTTCTATCTCCCAACGTGCAGCACAGCCGTGAACTTGAAGCCCTAAGATTAACCTCACGTCAGCCTGCTCGCGTGAGAACCAGCCCTCACGTTGGGCATCAGGGCCTCACCTCGCTGGGGAGCCTCTCCTGATCCTGTCCCACCAGGTCCTATCCATTCCAAGTTTCTGGGGCCACAACCTGGAGCCACCTGGCCCCGCAGCACTTTCCAGACGTCTGGAACCCCCTGAACAGTTGCCCGGCAGCCCCTCGAGCACTCTCTTTGCAAAGCCCAGGAGGGCCCCCGCCCAGGCCTGGGGGACACGTCACGCCCACTGTGTGCCAGGACCCTGCCCGGGGCCAGCACACAGGCACCAGACTCCCATCTCCGCACGGCAGCTATGGGCCGGAGCCCCACCCAGAAAGGCCACGAGGGGCTTTTCAGAAGAGGATGGAAAGGCAGAGGCAGAAACGGCCAGCAAATGGGCATCCACACCGAATCCCTCAGCCCCACACCCCACACGCTCACTCCATGCCCCAAACACCCCAGGGCTCCTTCCGTGGGCCTCACGGCCTGGGTGCCCACCTTCCCGCCCACTGATGCCAGCTCCAGCCTCACCGGCCACAGTCCTTGCACCCCTCTGCCGTCCAGGCCTCCTTCCCGCTCCCAAGTGCCCACAGCACCCACAGCCTCACACCTGAGCTGCACAGCCGGGGATGCACATGCAGGCCCTTCAGGGCCGCAGGCTGGCCAAGGGGGCCAGGGACATGGAGAGACCAGCTTACCGATCACACTCTTCGCAAAGGACGCTCTCTTGAGGGTAGCCAGGCCCAAGTCGCCGATCTTCACGGAGCCGGTGGGCCCGGTGATGAAGATGTTGTCGCACTTGAGGTCCCGGTGGATGATGGGGGGCGTCCTCGTGTGCAGGAACAGCAGCCCCTTGAGGATCTGCCGGCACCAGCTGCGCAAGACCTTGGGTTTCATCACCTTGAACCTCTTCAGGTACCTGCGGGGGGGGCAAGGCTCAGCGGTGGCTCGTGGGGGAGGGGCTGCCGGTTGCTGGGGACCGTGTATTTATCACAAAACAGGGACGCTTCTGAGAGAGGGGTGCTGGCCGCACACAGCCAGGACCGCCCCAGGCAGACACGGTGCCCGGAGCCCCAGCCATCACAGCCCCTGTGCCCTGGGCCAAGCCCACTCTGAGGCCCCGGCCAGCCGGGTGGGCAGCATGCTCACGTCTTCAGGGTCCCTGAGGTCATCAGCTCGGTCACCAGCACAATGCACCGCTTCCCCCTGGCGCTGGACTCCCAGAAGTCATAGAAGCGCACGATGTTGGGGTGCTGCAGGCCCTTCAGCATCTCAGCCTCCTCCTTGAACCGCTGCCTCTCCAGCTTGGTGAGTTTCCGGTCCTACAGAGAAACACAGGCTGAGACAGACACCCTGCACTGCCTGCCCACGGTGCATCCACGGAGAGGAGGCGATCCTGGGCCGGAATCTGCCAGGCCGCTCTCTCAGCTCCTTCCATATGGAGCACAGCGGAGGGAGAGGACCAGACGTCCGGGGTCACAGAAAGTCTGCCCCAGGCCGAGCCCTGCCAGTCCTGACCCCCTTCACCCAGAGAGAGCAGAGCGGTCACTCCTGGTCCTCCAGCATCCATGACATCCAGCCTGTGGCCTCGTCACCCCTGCAGCCTGCGTCCTGGCCCTTCCCTCCCTAAGACCCTCCAATGGACTCACCACAGAGCCCTCAGAGCAAACCCCAACATGCTGTGTCTCCAATGTCATCTCACGGTCGACCCTGACCTCTGCAGACCCCAGCACGGCCTCCTCCTCCCACCTGAGTGCGCGCCCCCAGTGTCACCTCCGTCCTGACCCAAGGGGCCCACAGAGGCTGGGCCTGCACCCTCCCGCAGGAGGACTGACTCCCAGAAGGAAACCAACACATCTGAACACGGGGCGGCGAGTCCTGAGGAGCCAGGAAGACAGACACGGGCGAATTTGGAGATGGAGGGAGAAATCAGAGCCGAGAGGAAATGCAGGCGAAGACCCCTGGGGTCCTTCCAAGAGACCTCAAAAGATACCCAGCCAGAAGCCAACCGATCCAGAGAGAGGCGGCGAGTCCTGAGGAGCCAGGAAGACAGACACGGGCGAATTTGGAGATGGAGGGAGAAATCAGAGCCGAGAGGAAATGCAGGCGAAGACCCCTGGGGTCCTTCCAAGAGACCTCAAAAGATACCCAGCCAGAAGCCAACCGATCCAGAGAGAGGGGCCCGGGACTTCGAGGAGGTCATCTGGTTAAGGAATTCTATCCCAAATGGGCTCTTCCCATTGGGCATTCTCCCTCCCGCCGGCCCCACCCCCACAAACCTTGCGGCCTCTTCATGTACCAGCGGGACCACACGGCAAGATTACCAATAGGCAAAGAGATACCAGGAGAAACCACCGGCACGGCTGATCCCAGAAAAACAAGCAATTCAGGGACAAAGGCAACTTCAAAAAAATCTAGTTCACGTCCTCATAAGGATCCAAGAGGCTGACACACATAAATAAGAGTGAGCTTCCACGTAAGAAGGAACAATCGAGAAAGAGCTCTTGCAAATTGAAGCTCGATGTTTTAAAAATAAGATATTCTGTGATTCAATGAAACACTAAGTACAAAAAAGTCAATGTTTATTCTAGATAAAACATGGACACATGTTCTGCTCATCAAAAATCATGATTTATTTAAGAAAATAAACGTCAAGCCACTGACTGTGAGAAACTATTCTCAATAAATGTATATGACTCGGGACTCAGATCCAGAATACAGATAGAACTCCTACAACATGATAATAAAAATAGACATGAATGGACACATCACAAAAGATGCAGAAATGGCCAATAAGCACTTGAAAAGGTGCTGGGCACCCTGAGGCACCAGGAAAATGCCAGTTACAACCACGAGACCCCACTCCCCACCCACCAGCTGGGCCGACATAAAAGGATCGTCCCAATCGCTGGGCAGTGGAGCAGCCAGCCTTCCAGGCGTGGCTAGCAGAGCAGGTGGTCCAAGGCTCCGAGGTTCACACCTGCTCTAGGCCCAGCCCCTCCCCGCTGGGTACCCACCTAAGACAAAGGGAAACGCGTCCACTCAGAATAGCCCCAAACCCCAGAAAAGGCAGAACGAACACGTGGGGTTGAAACTAGAACACTGCTCGCCTCCAGGGTGGGGGAGATGCCGGAGCTGAGAACCAGGCGCCGACAGGAACCTTCTACATCAACAGAGGATGCGGTCACACCGGCGAGCATCTGTCAAAGCTCATCGGCTTGTACACCTAAGATGCGTGTTTCATTACATGTAAAGTGCAGCTCAATGTTTCAAATGTAAGAAATAACATGAAGACATCCGAAAACCAAATGAGAGAAACAGAAGAGAAATATCAAGAGACATGAAAGAACCAGCTGGAAGTCCCAACAGCAGGTACCAGGAGAGGACAGACGTCAGGAGGGAGAAGGCGACAGCGGAACAGCATCTCCTGAGCTGAGAGGATCACTGAGAATAAACGCGTGTGGGCCGCCAAGTCAGAGTAAACGGAAAATGATCCACGTCCAGACCCGTTCCAGCGAAATCAGACTCCCGAGGACCGAGGGCCAGTCCCCCTGCCCAGATGGGCACCCAGTCTCATGGGCAGCTCTAGGCACAGCCGATGGGCAGCGTCCTCAAAGTGCCGACTCTGACCTGGAATTCTATACCCAGCCAAACGGACAGCAAACCGCGCGGCCAGGACTTACTCTCAGACACGAGAGAACCCAAGGTCACTTCCCACCACCAGCGAAACAGTTACTGAAAGAAGAGTTTCTGCAAAACTCAGCACAATGCAGCAGAGGGGACGTGGCAGAGCCCACCCCGGCAGCCCACAAACGTGGCCCAGAACACCAGAGGCTGGAGAGGAGTGGCGGCGCCCGGCAGCACGGCTCCCTGCCCGGGAAGCCCACTTTGGGCAATGACATCTCAGTAACAATCTCTTTCCAATGATCTGTTCGCTGAATCTAGAGAAAACTCACAGAATCATTTACAGTATAAATTGTTTTTGCCAATATTTCAGCATCAACAACAAAAGTGAAAGATTTCACAGTCGTTTCAGAGCAAAAGATTCATGTTATAAACGGCATAACTAACGGAACTGAGGCAGAGGAGCACACGCCACAGTCTTCGCTTCAGATACCAGCAAAAGGCGATGAGCCAAAGACTCAAAGACAGCCGGCCCCACAGCCTAGTCGCTAAGCTCAGTGCGCTCTGCTTCAGCCGCCCAGGGTCAGTTCCCCGGGCGCGGGCCTACACCACCCTGTTAGCAGCCACGCTGTGCTGGCAGCCCAGACACTAAAACATAGAGGAGGACTGGCACAGATGTTAGCTCAGGGCGAATCTTCCAATGGCACCTCTTGGCGGGCCGGGGTAGAGATGGGAGGGGACAGACCTTATTTATGTCCTAAGCCACCAGGCTATTTTTAATGAGGTGACACACTGCTTGATAATTTGAAAGGTCAGCTAGCATGTCCTCAGTGTGCTGCCTGGCATCCGCTCGCAGAGCTGGCCTGAGTCCTGTTTGTTGATGGCTGATCAGCCCCATTAGATCAGCGACCCCATGGAGGCAGAACCACCCCAGCGACTGGGACGTCGTTACCGTTTGTGGGATGAACTCCTCGACCGACGTGCTGGGACGGCTCGAGGTCAGGACCAGGGCAGGAAGAAAGCCCCATCCTGCGAGACCCCCAACCCCGCCGGAGTCAGGTTGTTCTCGAGGTTTGGTGAGAGGGGTGGGCTCCGCTGCTCACACAGCATCAACAAGGAATGGTCCACCCACCACAGGGCAGGGAAGTCACTCTGACCGGCCTCCCTCCCCACCGGTCCCTGGTGCCACATAAACAGTGGCTCCTGTTCCCCCAAAGACGGTGAGAGTTGATCGGATTATAGAGGATAAGAGCAGAATTCCAGGGCAATGCTGGCTCCGGGGAAGGGCCCAGCCAGCCACAGACGGCACCCTCCAGGCGGGGCAACAAGGCCCCGGGTCCGATGGGCCTCTCCTACACCACCCGGGGTGACGAGCTCTGCCGCGAACAGCCCCATAGGCAAGGGCTGAAGTTGTCAGACCCAGAGGGCCACCCTCCCTGCTCTTGGGGGATTCTGCAGCCATCTCCTTCCAGCCAGGCCAAGCCCGACCAACCCTGCGAGGACAGAACTGCCTGGCGACCCCGAGTCCAGCAGATGAAGGCGCAATCCACACACACAGAACAGAGAGGGGACATGAGCAGCCGGAAGGAGAGTGCCCAGAATCAGCAGAACCAGAGTCCTGCGGTGACAACCTCTCTTGCCCCATCTGGTCTAGAACAAAAGAAAGCCTCAAGGTCTTTGTTGAGAACTGTCCCATGTATGGCGAATCAGCCCGGGACGGGGGCTCCAGGGGCAGGGTGGGCCTGGGGAAGGGGTCACCAGCCCCGGCCAGCGTCTCTCCACCCTGGGCCCCCGGATGTCCCTGGGGAGAAAGGCCTTCCCAAGTCTGGGGGATGTGACCCAGGCTCACCCTGGGCTGCAGGGCGGCGTGTTCCTTGCCCACCCTCTCACCTCGAAGCAGGGAGAAGGTGGAGGGTCCGGGTTGGGACGTCTCTGGGGTGCTGAGTGCACAGAGAGTGGAGTGGGCACTGCTGTCCCCTGACCCCTGCTCCTGGCGGTGTCCACATGCCTCGCTTGGTCCCCCGACAGTCACTGGGGCCCTGGGCGTGCAGGAAAGGGCTGTGGGCAACCTCATGGCGGGACAGATAAACACACAATCACACGCGCCACAAGACAGGGCGAAGGGACAGGTGGGCAGTGCCAGACAGGGGAGAAGGGCAGCCCCCCATCCAGGGCACCAGCAGGGTGGGGGTGCTGGGAGAGTGCAGTTTACTCAGCACAGGGACTGGTGGCAGCAGGGATGGCAGGCGCTGGGTGGGGCTGTCCTGACCCCTCTCGGGACCGGGCTCCCACAGTGGCAGCACAGCACAGACCTGATGGAGGGACGCCCTCACCTCTCCAACATTTACCGCGGTTTTAAAACAAACTCACTTCTTCATCCCACTCATCTTAAGCTACAAAATACGTGAAATCAAGGAGAGCGCTGTCGGCTTTTTCTAACCACGTTTAAGAGAGAGGCAGTGTTATCACAATGAAAGCCCTCCCACCCCAACCTTGTAAGATAAGGCCCCCGTGTCCAAGGAGGCGCAGCCCCAGCGGGAAGGATCTGCAGAGTTGCAGAAAATAGATCCTCGGGGCAGGGGCTCAGAGGAAAACCTCAGTGGACAGCAAGGGTGGGGCCACCACACCCATGGCTTCTTTGTCCTGGCCAGCAGGCTTGTGCCCTGGGGGAGAAACAGTCTCTATCCAGTGCCCCCCA